GCCGCCGCCGCCGCCCCGGACCCCCGACGGACCCCCAAAGCCGCCCCCCCCAAAAGCAGCCGCCTGTCGTGGCCCGAAGGGGAGACGAAGGGGCGACCCAAAGCGGGGGGGGGCGGCGGCAAAGCCGGGGGTCCCGATCCGGGGGGGGTCCGGCCGCCGGCTCGGCCGCGTTTGTCCCCCCGCAAAGGGAAAAGCAAAACGTTGGACAACAGCGACCTGAACCCCCTCCCCCCCGCTCTGCCCGCCGCCCCCCCCCCGCCCCGAGGCCCCCCCGCCACCCCCCCCCCGACCCCCGTCGACGCCGGAGCGGGGCTGAAGCGGGGCCGGGAGGGGGGCCGGGCGTCCACGAGGGACCGCAAGATGCTCAAGTTCATCAGCGGCATCTTCGCCAAGACCCCCGCCGCCCCCCCCGCCGGCAGCGCGGCCCCGTGGGCGCCCCAAGGCTCCGAGCCCCCCCCCGGGGGCGGCCCCCCCAGTGAGTAGCGCGGGGCCGGGCCCCCCCCCCCCAAAAACCCCCCCCCCCCCCCCCCGCGCTGTGGGGCGGCGCGGCGCCGCCTCGGGGTGATGGGGGGCGGCGGGCGGGGGGCCGCAGGGACCCCACGTTGTGCCCCCGATTGTCCCCGGCGGGTCCCAAATCGCCCCCAGTGTCCCCACATTGTCCCCAAATTGTGTCTCCATTCCTCTGTGTCCCCATGTCGTCCCCCAGGTCCCCATATCATCCCCAAATGTGTCCCCATGTCGTTCCCCAGTGTCCCCACATTGTCCCCAAATTCTGTCCCTGTCCCTCAGTGTCCCCATATTGTCCCCAAATGTGTCCCCATCCCTGTGTCCCCATATCGTCCCTCTGTGTCTCCATGCTGTGGCCCCACATTGTGGCCCCGTATTGTCCCCCAGTGTCCCCACATTGTCCCCAAACGTGTCCACATATCGTCCCCCCATGTCCCCATATTGTCCCTCTGAGTCCCCACATTTTGTCACCCTGCCTCAGTTTCCCCTGACCATCATTGTTCCCATATTGTCCCTCTGTGTCCCCACCCCAATGTGTCCCCACCCCTGTCCCTCAGTTTCTCCCTTTTGTCCCCAAATTGTGTCCCCATCCGTGTCCCCACCCTGTGTCCCTGTGCCTCAGTTTCTCCATATTGTCCCCACACTGTGTCCCCATCCCAATATTGTCCCTAAATTGTGTCCCTGTCCCTCAGTGTCCCCACATTGTCCCCAAATTGTGTTCCCGTCCCTCTGTGTCCCCATATTGTCCCTCTGGGTCCCCATGCTGCGTCCCCATCCCTTTGTGTCCCCACATTGTGTCCCCATCCCTCAGTGTCCCCATACTGTCCCCAAATTGTGTCCCCGTCCCTCTGTGTCTGCACGCTGTGGCCCCACATTATGGCCCCATATTGTCCCCACCATGTCCCCATATTGTCCCCCTGTGTCCCCAGATCGTCCCCATGCTTTGTCCCCGTGCCTCAGTTTCCCCATATTGTGTCCCCATATCGTCCCCAAATTGTGTCCCTGTCCCCAGTGTCCCCATATCGTCCCTCTGGCCCCACGCTGTGTCACCCTGCCTCAGTTTCCCCTGTCCCTCAGTGTCCCCATATTGTCCCCCCGAGGGGTTTTGGTGCTGGGGGGTTTTGGTGCTTTTGGGGTTTTGGTGCTGTGGGGTTTTTGGGGTTTTGGTGGTGCTGTGTGTTGACCCCCCCGCGTGCCCCCATCAGCGCTGCCCCATTTGGGGTCACCTTGAGGTCCCCCCGTGGCCATGGGGGCGGCGGTGTCCGTCCGTCTGTCCGTCCGTTGTGCCATCCTGGATCCGTCCGTCCGTCCGTCCCGCTGCCCCACATCTGTCTGACCCGGGGGGGGCGGAGGGGAGGGGGGGCCTCCGTGTGTGGCAGGGGAAAACTGAGGCCTTGGGGGCAGGGAGACAACGTGACACAATACGACACAGTGTGTCATGACATGGTATGTCACGACACAACACGATATGACCCGATGTGATATGAGACAGTGCGGCGCAATATGACGTGATATGACGCGGTATGGCACGATATGACATGATATGTCACGATATGGTGTGATATGACGTGATACAACATAGTATGACATAATATGACGTGATATGATGTGATATGACATGATATGACATGATATGTCACGATACAATGTGATATGACGTGATATAACACAATGTGCCATGACATGCTATGTCATAGTAGAACATGACATGACGTGATATGACGTGATGTAACGTGATATGACACAGTGTGTCATGACATGGTATGTCACAACAGAACACAATACGACACGATAGGACACAATATGACACGATATGTCACTGTATGATGCAATACGACATGATGTGACACAGAATGACACGATATGACGAGATATGAGACGATATGACTGATATGGTGTGATATGACGTGATGTGACACAATGTGTCATGACATGGTATGTCACAACGCAGCATGGTATGAACTGATATGACTCGATATGAGACGATACGGCACTGTGACAGAATGTGACATGATATAACATAGTATGACATGATATCTCACGATACGTCACGATACGTCACGATACGACACATGGTTTGTGCAACACGACATGACACGACATGATATGGCGCGATGTGACGTGATGTGACACAGCGTGTTGTGACGTGGCGTCGCAGCGCTGCGGTGCGTGGAGAACAGGCAGCGTCCTCATGTCACGCCGTGTCCTCGTGCCTCACCGTGTCCTCGTGCCACGCCGTGTCCTTGTGCTTCACCACATCCTCGTGCCACGCCGTGTCCTTGTGCCATGCCATGTCCTTGTGCTTCATCGTGTCCTTGTGCCACGCTGTGTCCCCGTGCCACATCCTGTCCTCGTGCCTCACCACGTCCTCGTGCTTCCCCGTGTCCCCGTGCCCCACACCTGTGGTCCCTCCATGTTGTTGTGCTGCCCCGTCCCCGTGCCGCACCACGTCCTGCTCCGTGCCACGCCGTGTCCTCGTGCCGCACTGCACCCCCATCTCCTCGTGCCACGCTGTGTCCCTGTGCCCGTGGTGTCCCTGTGCTGCGCCACGTCCTCGTGCTCACCGTGTCCTCATGCCCCCCTGCCCACGCTGTCCCCACGCTGTGCCACGTCCCCTTGCCGAGCCGCTGTCCTCGTGCCCCATGGTGCATCCTCGCGCCCTGCAGCATTCCCTTGTGGTTGACACATCCCTGCGCTCCGTGGCAAATCCTCGTGCCCCACAGTGCATCCTTGTGCCCTCCACCTCCTCGTGCCCTGTGCATTTCCTTGTGTCCACCGCATCCTCGTGCCCTGCAGCGTGTCGTGGTGCCCCGTGGCAGCTCCTTGTATCCACCGCACCTTCATGCCCCATGGCACGCGTGTCCTCGTGCCCCACAGCATTCCCTTCTGGTTGCCACCTCCTCGTGCCCCATGGTGCCCACCACCTCCCCGTGCCCTCGTGCCCATCCTTGTGCCCACCACCTCTTTGCACCTTGTGCCTTTTCCTCGTGCCCACCCCACCCTCGTGCCCCATGGCATGCTCTCGTGCCCCACGGTGCCCGCCTCCTCCTCGTGCCCTGCGCCGTTTCCTCGTGCCCATCCCATCCTCGTGCCCCACATCGTGTCGTGGTGCCCCGTGGCACCTCCTTGTATCCACCACGTCTTCATGCCCGTGGCATTTCCTCGTGCACGCTCATCCTCGTGCCCCACAGCAATTCCATGTGATTGCCACATCCCTGTGCTCCATGGCACGTGTTTGTGCCCCATGGTGCATCCTCGTGCCCTCCACCTCCTTGTGCCCCGTGGCAGCTCCTTGTATCCACTGCATCTTCATGCTCGTGGCATTTCCTCGTGCACGCTCATCCTCGTGCCCCACAGCATTCCGTTCTGGTTGCCACCTCCTCGTGCCCCACGCCATGCTCTTGTGCCCCACGGTGCCCGCCCCCTCCTTCTGCCCCGCGCCATTTCCTCGTGCCCACCCCGTCCTCGTGCCCACCACCTGCTCGTGCCCCGCGCCTTTTCCTCGTGCCCACCCCACCCCCGTGCCCGCTCCCATCCCGGTGCCAGTCGCTGCGGTCCGCGCTCCCGCTGCCGCTCCGCCGCGGTGCCGTCGCCTGGTGACAGCGCGCGGCCGCCCCCGTGCGGCACCGCCGGCTCTGCGCAGGGCCGGGGGCGGCCGGAGCCCCGGGGGGGGACGGGGCTGCCGGGCTGCCGGGCTGCCGCCCCCCCTCAGCACCCGCTGCTCCCGCAGAGGCGCTGGTGAACAGCCAGGAATGGACGCTCGGCCGCTCCGTCCCCGAGATCCGCCTGGTGGGTGCCGCGTCCTCCTGTCCTCCTGTCCTTCTGTCCTCATGTCCTTCTGTCCTCCTGTCCTCCTGTCCTCATGTCCTCATGTCCTCATGTCCTCCTGTCCTCCTGTCCTCCTGTCCTCCTGTCCTCCTGTCCTCATGTCCTCCTGTCCTCCTGACCTCACATCCTCCTGTGCTCATGTTCTCTTGTCCTTCTGTCATCATGTCCTCCTGTCCTGATGTCCTCCTGTCCTGATGTCCTTCTGTCATCATGTCCTCCTATCCTTCTGTCCTCCTGTCCTGTCTTCATGCTCTCATGTCCTCCTGTTCTCCTGTCCTCACATCCTCGTGCCCTCATGTCCTCCTGTCCTTGTGTCCTTGTGTCCTCCTGTCCTCATGTCCTCCTGTCCTGCTGTTCTCAGATCCTCGCATTCTCCTGTCCTCCTGTCCTCCTGTCTTCACGTCCCCACCCCTGTGTCCTGCTGTCCTGCTGTCCTCCTGTCCCCACTCGATGCCCACCTCCCCCACCCCACATCCTCGTGTCGCCGCCCCGCGGCCCCGGAGCCCCAACTCCCTGCGTCTCCCCCCAGGGCGTCCTGGGCAGCAGCAGGAGTGGGAAATCAGCGCTGGTCCACCGCTTCCTCACCGGCTCCTATGTGAGCCTGGAGCCCACCGAGAGTGAGTGGCTGCGGGCTGGGGGCGGGCGTGGAGGTGGGGTGGGTGTGGGGTGGACATGGGTATGGGGTGGGCATGCGTATGGGGTGGATGTGGGTATGGGATGGACGTGGCTGGGGGATGGATGTGGCTGTAGGATGGACGTGGCCATGGGATTAATGTGACCATGGGATGGACGTGGCCATGGGATGGAAATGACTGTAGGTTGGATGTGGCCACGAGTTGGACGTGGCTGTGGGGTGGACATGGCTGTGGGGTTGACGGGGCCATGGGATGAAAACGGCTTTAGGATCAGTGAGGTCACAGGATGAACATGGCCATGAGTTGACATGAGCACAGAGTGGAGACAGACATGGAACTGACGTGGCAGCGAGATGGACGTGGCTGTGGGGTGGATGTGGCCATGGGATGAATGTGGCCATGGGATGGACGTGGCCATGGGATGGATGTGGTCATAGGATGGACGTGGCTGAGGGGTGGACATGGCCATGGGACGGACGTGGCCATGGGGTGGACGTGACCACGGGACTGAGGAGGTCATGGGGTGGATGTGGCTGTAAGGTGGGGATGGATGTGGTTGGGGTTTGGTGATGACTACGAGGCCATGGCAGGGATGGGGCAATGGGGCTGAGAAGGCCATGGGGCGGACGTGAGAGTGGGATTGATGTGGCCACGGAATGGATGTGATCATGGGATGGACGTGGTTATGGGATGGATGTGGTTATAGGATGGATGTGATCGTGGGATGGATGTGGTTATAGGATGGATGTGATCGTGGGATGGATGTGGTTATAGGATGAATATGGTCATGTGATGCATGTGGCCACGGGATGGACACAGCTGTGGGGTGGACGTGGCCACAGAGCAGACAAGGCCACAGAGTTGCCACGGCCGTGGGCTGGATGCGGCTGCGAGACACAGCGTGGCCGTGGGGTGGCTGTGGCTGTGGGGCGGCCCTGGCTGCAGGATGGCCATGGTTTTGGGGTGGCTGTGGCTGTGGGGTGGCCCTGGCTGTGGGGTGGCTTTGGGTGGCCGTGGCCATGCTGTGGCTTTGGGTGGCCGTGGCAATGCTGTGGCTTTGGGTGGCCGTGGCCATGCTGTGGCTGTGGCTGTGGGGTGGCTGTGGCTTTGGGGTGGCTGTGGGGTGGCCATGGCTTTGGGGTGGCTGTGGCTGTGGGGTGGCTTTGGGGTGGCCATGGGGTGGCCGTGGCTGTGGGGTGGCTGTGGCTGTGGCTGTGGCTTTGGGGTGGCTTTGGGGTGGCCGTGGCTTTGGGGTGGCCGTGGCTGTGGCCGTGGCTTTGGGGTGGCTGTGGGACCCCAGGCTCCCCCCCGCAGGCGGGCAGTTCAAGCGCGAGGTGACGGTTGATGGGCAGAGCCACCTGCTGCTGATCCGCGAGGAGGCCGGCGCCCCGGACGCCAAGGTGGGTGCGGTGCGGTGCGGTGGCGGGGGGTCG